GGCACGCATAGACGAGATAAAACACCTATATTATTGGGATCGTCTCAAAGCTCTCCAAATATACTCTCTAGAAATGAGACGAGAGAGATACCAAATAATATACACATGGAAAATACTGGAGGGCCAGGTCCCAAATCTATACAGTAAAATAACAACGTACTGGAGTGAACGATATGGAAGAAAATGCAAGATTGAACCAGTGAAGAGCAGAGGTGCCATAGGCACAATCAGAGAACACTGTATAAACATCAGAGGTCCGCGGTTGTTCAATGTCCTCCCAGCGACTATAAGAAATATGCCGGAACAACCGTGGATATCTTCAAGAGAAAATTGGACTGTTTTCTAAGAGAAGTTCCAGATCATTCGGGCTGTGGTGGGTATGTGGGCCTGCTGGCCGCTCCAAGCAACAGCCTGGTGGACCAAACACTCTCAAGTCGAGCCTGGCCTCGGGCCGGGCTTGGGGAGTAGAAGAACTCCCAGAACCCCATCAAGCCGGTATCATGTTGGATGCACTGAGGTTTCCAGGGCATTCCTGGCTAGCGCACATTCAATTATTTTCTCTTTCCTCTTGGCACAGTTTTGCCGCTCTTGTATGCTGGAATGGCATGGATTGGGAATGTCCTTTAGGTGTTTTATGGGCCTTACTTCTGAGCCCCTTTCATGCCTGTCTTTGGTCCACTCTTCTGCAGTGTTTGAGAACTGCAGCTTCAAGCACAATCCCTCTTGTCAGCTTTAAGCCCGATCCCTTTGTTGGTGGCAGATGATTTTTGGGTCTGTTAGCACTTGGGTTCTGTTGTGCATTTTCTGAGCTTCCTTGCACTCTATTCGGAAGGAGCACAAGGAAGATCCTGACGCTCAAGGCAAACGGGTTGCCTTGGGCTAGATGGTAGATGGACGGTCTCGCTTCAAGCAGGTCAGCATTCAATCCCCGACCATCCAAGTGGTTGGGCACCATTCCTTCCCAAATCCTTATCCTGACTCTTCCCAAGTGCTCTATAGTCATAATGGCTTGGCATTTTCCCCTGATAATTCCCTTCCCTCCGTTCGGTTGGCTCTAGGGGGTTGTCGGTGCGCTCAGCTGTGAGCCTCTAACTTTGGTTTTGGCTTTGACCATATTGTCCTCCGCATCACTTGTGTAGCTTTTTGCTCCAAGTCTGTGGTGTGCAGTTTGCCACATTCTATTCTGTGCGTTTTACATGTAGGCGAGCTATGCTCGCATTCTTAATATGGCTTGGGCCCGGGCTCTTGTTTGCCTCCTTTCATTTCCGTCTGGAGGAAACATTTACGCAGTTTTTCTCTGTAGCTGGGTCCTATCATCTGGTCTGGAACTTTTAGGAGAGTTGCTGCTGTAATTCGAGGCACTCCGGCTGGGTAGGAGTTACACTGGAAGTTGGTCAAGGTGGGCCTTAGGTGGATTCTACATCTGGGTCTCATAAGCGCCCTGCAGTGGCTTCATCTCTGACTGGTCATATGCTGATATGGTGTTGGCACCATTGTTGCTACGGGCTGCTTCATGGAGGGTGGTTATCATGAGATGATTTCGGTGCTTTAGTGTCCCCGTGGCCCGGTCCTCGACCAGGCCTCCACCCCCAGGAAGCAGCCCGTGACAGCTGACTAACACTCAGGTACCTATTTTACTGCTAGGTAACAGGGACATAGGGTGAAAGAAACTCTGCCCATTGTTTCTCGCCGGCGCCCGGGATCGAACCCGGGACCACAGGATCACAAGTCCAGCATGCTGTCCGCTTGGCCGACTCGACCGACCGGTGTGTAACAAAAAGGAGGCCTCGTCAAGGAACAGGCTGCGGGGATGCTAAGCTCCAAAATCATCTCGATATAACCTCAAGATAAGATTGGGGAAACAAGTACCTATAAGCACAGGCCTATTTGTATTATATTTTAAAGATAGTAAAGACAGTCAGAAAAATTCTTTTGAAATGCACTGTATTATAGAAAGTGCAAATCTTTAGTTATTGTCCTGTTTTCTCTCAGAAGGATGGAAATTTTCTAAATTTTAAGTACAGTACAACCTCCATTCAGTACACTATATGGGACCAACCTTATGCAGGATTGGATTTGTTGCAGGAGGTGACCTTCAGGAGGCATTTGTGTCAGTGTTTTTTTTACTTGTAAACAATAAAAATGCATTCATATTATATACTGTACCTATATATTACTACTCTTAAAAACTGCAACACTATTTTTTAGTATATACCTTATTGTTGGAGTTATGTCTATCTTGAATTCTCATGAGTTGTGAATACTCTACAGTAAATACATACTGTGATGTATGTTGAATACTACAATACAGTTTATGAAAACTATTGTACACTAAAATTACTGCAACATTAATTTTAACACTTTAACACTATATACTTAAATTTAACACTTGTTCTAACTGTACACTCCACACACGATGTTCTAGATGTTTGCATTATGTTTGCTGGTGCTCGCTGCTACTGTGTGTGTGCTTCAGCTTCTGAACTGGTGCTGGCTGCGGTTGTACTGATGCTAGCTACTGCTGTGCTCGTAAATACCTAAGTGTAGTTACAGGATGAGAGCTACGCTCATGGTGTCCCGTCTTCCCAGCACTCTTTGTCATATAACGCTTTGAAACTACTGACGGTCTTGGCCTCCACCAACCACCTCACTCATCATTTTGGTGAGGGCGGTGGCGTCGTCTGCCACAAACAGTATTGTTGGAGGAGAAATATTAGTGCGTCTGGCCTTGAGGGCGGCAGCCAACTGTGTGAGGCCTACGTCTTTGTGCCTTTACTCACCATACAAGCTTAGATGTGCAGTTATGGTGAACAAAACATGTAAATACTTATATATAACGTCTGTATATAAAAGCAACTGTGTGAGGTCCTACGTCTTTGTGCCTTTACTCACCATACAAGCTTAGATGTGCAGTTATGGTGAACAAAACATGTAAATACTTATATATAACGTCTGTAGAAAACAGTATGGTGTGGAGAATGGTGGCAAGTCAGGTGAGGTGAGGGAGGGAGGGAGTGGCAGCCAGTGGCGGGCTGCCACTGCCAGCCACTGCCACTCAGCATACCAACTTGGTGGCTCGTTATGGTGAACACAAATGTAGATACTTATATATAGCGTCTGTATATAGTGAATAAAAGCAAAAACAGTATTGTGGGAGGAGAATGTGGGTGAATCAGGTGACTTGAGGGAGGGCGTGAGTGGCTGGCTGGTACACGGTCACTCCTCGTTACTTTTTGACTCATAATAGCTACTTAGTGGTTCGTTATGGTGAACAAAACATGCAGATACTTATATATAACCTGTGTATATAGTGTAATAACCAACAAAGTATTTGTTCACTGATTGATGAACATAATTGAATCAACAATATGCACACCATATTTTTGAGTATAGCAATGATTCACTCATTTTATTATATAAATATATCAAACTACACACTATTGAATAATATTACAGCAAAAAACTATGAGAAATCAATCAGAGACATTGAAATAATTAGGTAATTATCTCTTTATGGCAACTCTGGCCTGACAGCTGGCGATCAACAGACCACCTGGGACGCACGCTCAGTCAGCGCCTGTTTTTTGCCAGACTTCCCCGCCCTATAGTGGGCAATATATGCCACTTACGATTTTTTTTATTATTTTTCCTATTGAACACAAATTAACAGGTTAGGATTTTTTTTTTTTTTTTTTTTTTTTTTTTTCAAATTACATTTGCCTGTGGGGAACAAAGGATATTATACCCCTAGTATGTTAAGGGTTAAAAAAATATATATAATTTTTTTAAGAGAATTTTTTTCCTGCGCACTGGGGGGTTGTCATATTTGGAGGCGGCACAGTTAAAGGGTTGAATTCCATTTGCCAAGTGGTGCTGCATATACTTATTTTGTCCAGGTCTTCTTGAAGGGCATGACAATCTTCTAAATTTCCCATCTTCCCTATTATCTTAGCATCATCTGCAAACATGTTTATATTTTTTTGTATTCCATCCATGGTAGATCATTTATGTAGGCAATGAACATCGCCGGTGCAAGAATTGAACCCTGTGGTACTCCACGTGTGCCATTTCTCCAGTCCGACACATTGCCTCTGATAACTGCCCTCATTTTTCTATCAGTCAGAAAATTTTTCATCCATGTTTGAAGCTTACCTGCCACCCTTCCAATATTTTCCCGTTTCCAAATTCGATACACAGGATCTTCCAGATCGAAAACCGTACTGTCTGTCTGATATTATATAATTTCTCTCCAGGTGTTCTTCCAATTTAGTTTTTATTATTTTTTCCAATATTTTGACTATTATACTTGTCAATGATAAGGTCTATAATTGAGAGGGGGAGGGTCTTCCCTGCTGCCACTTTTGTAGATTGAAACTATGTTAGCCTTTTTCCTCACATATGCTACGACTCCTGTACACAGTGATGTCTGGAAAATCAGGTGAAATGGAATGCTGAGCTCAGGTGCACATTCTGTCACAACCCATGGTGAAACTCCATCTGGGCCAACTGCTTTGTTCTTGCTTATCTCCTTGAGCATTTTGTCCACTTCGTCTCTAGAAACCTCTATGTGCTCTACCTGTGATAGAATGGGAAAGTTTTCCAGTCTGTGAACTTTGTCACAAAATCATAAGCTTGTGGACCACTTTTGGATCACTTGTGTGGTCCACTTGTCTACTTGTGTGATCCAACTTGTCACATAAAGGAATTGTTAAATGTAACCTGTGATAGAATGGGAAGGTTTTCCACCAGTCTGTGAACTCTGTCCCAACAGCGTAAGCAAATCCGCACATCCCCCGCTTCGGCGAACCAGAATACGGGTGAATAAATACAGGGTGAATAAATCTGGCCTGAAAAGTGTGCTACCGAGCCAGAGATACGGCAAATTATGGTACTGTACGTTTAATTGAGGTTGTACTGTACTCTTTTGTTTTTTTCTGCACTGCATTTAATATCACCTTACAAAGTCTTTAATATTTAACAATTTATTTCCATTATTCTAGGTGTTAGCGGACATGGGGTATCTCAGACAACAGGAGACAGTGGAGGGAGTCAGGTGAGTAAACAGTGGATGGTAATTTGAATTATTTGCTAACATCCAAGCAATTACTTTGTTTTCTCATGCTACTGTATTATGAATGTTGGCATAAGAAGCCCTGTGTGTTAGCATTCTCCATTCACCATTCACCATTCTCACATGTGAATGATGAAATAATAAAGTGTGGTCTTATTTTCTGTGCTGTGATGGGATGATGCTGAAATTTCACACAATTCCAATACTGATGCTGGTTTCATTAAAACGTTTTGATTCCAACACTCTTGTCGATTCAAGTTCCGATTCATGTAAAAAATATAGATGGAGACTAACTTCTTTCAAAATTTCATATTTTAGTTTAGAAAATGTATTAATAATATAATAGATTGATATAAGGAAAGACAAAATAGGTAAACAGTGCAGCTTTATCTTCTAGAAGAAACTGAAAACATTCCATTATACATGTAGATGTACAGTACAAACTTTATTTGTGTACAGTACTATGCAATAAAATAACATTTGTAATCTTATTTTAAATAAAGTTAATACTGTATGAGCTCGCTTATCTGAAGCCAGCTGATTCAAATATTTGGGTTATCTGGCAAGAGTTATGATTGGACATTTTCTGGCATAACTCCGCTGTACCCGAAAAGCAATTCGGATAACAGGAGATTTTGCCAGATACTGCAGACAGGTATCAGACCATGCTGTATTAATCTCGTACAGCAGTGGCTGGAGGCGTGGGGTATAAGTAGTGCTTAGGTGGGTGGTTTCAAGGTAGGGGGGGTGTTGGGAGGGGTCTGTCTGGGGAATGTGGAGAGGCATGTTGTTTTTCTTGTTGACACTTGACACATGATTACATTTTTCTGTTCACAGATTTCACTGCCTCTTATAGAGCAGGTAGTCAGAAACAGTCACAACCAGTCAGCATTTCAGTCAGTTATTCACAGTCACAACTAGTCACAGCTACTTAGTTGCAATCCATCATGGGCAGCCACAGTCACAACCAATCATGCATTCATATTTAGTCACAACCAGTCAAAACCAGTAACAGTTAGTAAACAATACGAGTGTGATGTCAAGCACTCAGCCATGTGTCTGACTTGGGAAGACCTGGGAGCCTTCTCAAGACTCCCAGGCAACGAGATGGTAGGAAGAGAGCCCATACCGTATTCTGATCACACATCTAGACGTGGCTGGAGGGGTGGGGGGGGGGGGTAGCTGGCTGGGAGGGACTGGTGAGGGGATAGGGTAGGGAAGAACCACTGCGAGACGGTGTGTGGAAGAGGGTAGCAGGGAGGGACAGGATGGGGAAGGGATGTAGCAGGAAGGGTACCTCTTTCCTGAAGACAGATTGCCTATAAACCAATCTGTGTTAATCCTAGTCCGATATTTCACCTTTCCACTCACCCTCTGCTGCCCCCGCCCCCCCCCCCCCCCTCCTCCCACTCTGTTGCCTGCCCTCCCCTCATTCTGCTGCCTGGCCCCCTCCCCCAAATTTCTGCTGCCTGCCCCCCCCCCTCCCCTTCCCAAATTCTGCTATCTGCCCCCACCCCATTCTGCTGCCTGCCCCCCCCCCCCTTCCCCAATTCTGCTGCCTGCCCCCCCCCCCCCCCAATTCTACTGCCTGGGCCCCCCCCCCCAATTCTACTGCCTGGGCCCCCCCCAATTCTACTGCCTGCCCTCCCCCCTCCAATTCTGCTGCCTGCTCCTCCCCCAAATCTGCTGCCTGCCCCACCCTCCCACCCCCAAATCTGCTGCCTGCCCCACCCCCCCAAATCTGCTGCCTGCCCCTCCCCCTCCCAAATCTGCTGCCTGCCCCACCCCCCCAAATCTGCTGCCTGCCCCACCCCCCAAATCTGCTGCCTGCCCCACTCCCCCAAATCTGCTGCCTGCCCCCTCCCACGAATGATCTACCTGCCCTCCCCCTCCCACAAATCTATTGCCTGCCCCCCCTCCCTCCCACAAATCTGCTGCCTGCCCCCCCCCCAATCTGCTACTTGCCCGACCCCCCACTGTTTGCCCCCCCCCCCCCAAATCTGCTGCCTGCCCCCCCCCCCCTCAAATTTGCTGTTTGCCCCCCCCCCCAATCAGCTGTTTGCCCCTCCCCCAAATCTGCTGCCTGCCCCCCCCCCCCAATCTGCTGCCTGCCCCCCCCCCCCCCCAATCTGCTGTCTGCCCCCCCGACCCCGCCCTCAAATTTGCTGGTAGACGGTTGGAACAAGTTAGGTGAGAAGGTGGTGGAGGCCAAAACCGTCAGTAATTTCAAAGCGTTATATGACAAAGAGTGCTGGGTAGACAGGACACCACACGCGTAGCTCTCATCCTGTAACTACACTTAAGTAATTACAACCTGAGGACCACATAAAGAATATTGTGCAAGGAGCCTATGCTATGCTTTCCAATTTCATAATTCCTTTTAAACACATGGATGGTGAAATAATAAAGAAATTGTTCATGATACTTGCAAGACAGATAGCTTAAATTTGCAGTGAATGAAGTATTTTGAAGAAATCCTTATCTTAAGATATGGTGCCCATATCTTCAGAAGCACATCAACAAACTGAAAAACGTGCAAAGACTTGCAACTAAATGCCTTCCGGAACTGAATGAAAAGCAACTTAATGGCTTTCGGAACTGAAAGACAAGAGCTACAAGGAGAGGTCAAAGGCGTTAAATGTGTCATTTAGAAGATAGAAGAAAAGGAGCCAATGTAATCTCTACATTCAAAATAGTAAAGGGAATCTGCAAAATTAATAAGAAAGAATTCCTGAGACTCTGGACTTCAAGAACAAGAGGTCATTGATCCTCACACTGTAATGATCTGGGGCTCAGATCATTGGTTCTCCCTTCTCCCCTCTTTTCCCTCTCCTTCTCCCCTCCTTTCCTTCTCCCTCTCCCCTCCTTCCTTCTCCCCTCCCCTTGGCCGTCATTCGTCTCCTCCTCTTCCCCCCCCCCCTGATCGCCCATTTGTCAGGGTCAAGAGGTTGACCTGAGGGTAGGGTGGTCTTGGATACCTTGGCTTCTCCCACTCAATTCCCCACTCAGATGTTCCCCTCTCATCCCCTCTCTTTCCCTCTCAGCAGCGGCCTTCCCCATACCAGGCAGAGTCAAATGTCCATACTCCTATCTTAGAGGAGACAGGCTTGAACATAAATTATCAGTTTTGTAAACATTGCTCGCAGGTGCCTGGGCTCCATAGACGCGCCTTGTCCCCCTTCTCTTTAGCTGGGGAGAGCTGACTCAATCTTCAGAAATTCATGTAGCTTTCCACGACAGATCAGTGAAGGTGATTGGCCTGAGATAAGGGCCAAGTCCTTATTGGCCCTAGAGAGCCAGACCTCAGGCCTACATGTTAAATGGTTGGCCATTGCCAAAATAATGGGTGGAGCCCTGGGGCTGTAGTAGATGGTGGGAGGAGTAATCCTTCCCAGCAATAAGCTGGAAAAACTAAATTTCATTAGTGTGTCTTGGGAGTGTATTAGGAACAGGGCCGCAAGCCCGTATCCTCGGGACTGAGGGCAGCCATCAACATCGTGGCCGTAGTGCGGGTATTTAAGGTATAGTAGCACTTGAGTTTTTGTGTCCTCGGTAAATATCCATTGTGCCTCTAGGGAAATAGAATAGGTTATGTGTTCAAATTGTCTTAATTTACATGTTTCATAAAATAAATTGTATAGCTTGTCCAGTGGTATTCACTTAACTCCCCTTTTATATATTTTGCTACTTTGTCATTTTTAGGTGTTGTATTGGAAGCCCCCCCCCCCCCCAGGTTCTCCTAACAATTAATAGATACTAAAGTTGCCCTTGGATTTAAATTAGTAACGTAAATTACACAAACTAATTTTCCAAAATTTATTACTGAAATTCATACTACCCGGAGTCCCATGGTTACTGATTCCTTGCCTACCTGGGGGATCGGTGATAGACACATTCAGGTATGGTTGGTCGGGAAGGTGGTGGCAGTGTAAATGTGTTTTGTTATTGTTTTTTTTTAACTAATAACCCTTGTCCTTGGTGTATCTTCCTCATTTAATATTCCTCTTAGATACGTGGCCGTCCAGTGAGGGGTCATACTGGACTGTAACAGTGTTAAGCTGGGGTATTGAGTGAAGAGAGACAGAGATGTACAACAGAGAGCGTATAGTACGATTATGAGAGATCACAAGATAACAGGATTAATACTGGGGAACATTGGGTTATTACAATAGAGGCCGCGGTTATTACGACAGGGTAAGCGGTCATTACAACACAGTGTTCTTAATGTGTGGTACTAAGAGGGAGCAGTTACGCTTTCCATTAAAAAATAAACTATTAATGATTGAGCTTTGTGAAGATGGCCATTTAACTGTGAGTGTTGCAAAGGATTTTAGTACAGGCGTAAATACCATCTGTGGTGTAAGGGAACTCAAAGTTTATGTACAGTAATTTTAGTGCTGTGTTAGGTTAAGTTATATAAATTAATATTTTGAACGATGAGGAACCTTCATTAATCAAGCTGACGAACTCCAATAAAGTAAGATGTAATATCTGTTATCACTAAAAATAAATTTCAATACTATAAGTACAGTACTGTACTGATATGTGAAAATCCTCCCCCTACCCATATACAGTAGAACCTCAAGTGACAACCGTCTCAAATGGCGAGCAATTTGGGTAACGAACGCCCCAATTGCCGACAATTTGTCTCGTTAGGCGAGCGCTCGTTTGAATAACGTCAACACCACATGGTGGTGTCGCGCTCCTCCTCGCACATTCTCAGATGCCTCCGACAATGCAAATAAATTATTTTTCTTTGTTTAACCCTTAACATGCTCGGGGTCTAATATCCTGCCATCCCCACAGGCGCATGTCATTTTGAAAAAAAAACAAATTTTTTTTTTTTTGCTAATCTGTTAAGTTCTGTTCACTGATCACGGGAAAAATAAAAAAATAATTCTATTGTACTTACTTTTGTTGCAATAGAGCCGAGAAGGTCGGTGATGACGTCACAATCTGCATGTTCGCTCATGCAGTACACG